TTTTAAATCTCAGAATATTTTTAATTTGTTTTTTGGCCACTCCCCGCAGGGCTCACTCCTGACTCTGTGCTCAGAGACTCTGTAAAGTTCCAGGGATCCAATTTGGGTGGCTGCAATGCCAGCACCTATCCAGGTACTATCACTCTGGCCCCTTTTTCTTCTTTTAGTTTGTTTTGTTTTGGGAGACTCCTTGGCTGTGCTCTGGGCTTACTCCTAGCTCTTCTCTCAGGATTTATTCCTAGCAAGCTCCGGGACCATATGGGGTGCTGGGGATCAAGCCCGTGTTAGCCATGGGCCAGGCAAGTGCCCTACCGGCTGTACTACTGCTCCAGCCCAGTCATTTTTCATTTTAATTTTTGGAAGATTGGGACCACACTTCTCAAAGCCCAGGGACTAATTTGCTTCCAGCCCTTCACTGTGAGTTGGCCAAGTGAATAAATGAACCCCAGGTGGGGGACATAGGGATCCCAGATGGAGCTGGGGGCTCAGGATGGGGGTGAGTCTGAAAGGATCCGCACGAATTCCAGGGGAGACAGCTCAAAAGGAAAGGAAGTCTTGGGACATCCGGATGGTGTTGGGAGAGAACCAGAACCGCCCCCCACACCTCGCCTGTTGTGGGATCTTTGGTACCAATTCTGGTGAGAAAGGGGACCCTCAATCAGTCATGCTGATACACCACCTGCCCTTCTCAACTCCATTTCCCAGCGAGGAGGGGTGGAGGCTGGGACAGAACTAGACAACTAAACTAGGCCAAGATGGACTTTTCTAGAAGCCGCACCCCTAGTGTATTCGAGCCCTATGTCCAGGTCTGTGTGTCACTTATAAGCATCCACGTTTATTTTGCTCGGTTGGGGTTCAGGTCCCCACCTCCTGCCCCACCTCCGCCACGCCCAGGTATTCCGGACTGCTCAGCAGTGACTCCTAGCGGTCAGCACCATGTTTACTCACCCAACACAGGTGCCAGCTAGGTCAGACCCACGCACACGCGCGCCACATACTCCCCTCTGCACGCATCTTAGCGTGTACACCCCCACTTGAGCACACGGCATGCACCCCGGGGATGAACCACGCCCCGTTTGCATGGACCGGTCTGGCTCGCTCCCACGCCCAACACCTCTCTCTACACACATCGTTCACCCCCAAGGCCACAGACGCAGACAACCCATTGGGCATACGTAGCCCCATCAGCAAAGCGAGGACCCCAGATAGGTACCCCCATCACCTCTTCTTCCACCCGCAGCCATACCCCGCAGTCTGCTATCCATCTCCTGCACCGTCGTTCACCTCATCTTCTTCATCTTCACGGCCTCCACCCAGTCCACTTCCGGCAGCGCATCGCCGGGCTGGAGTCCCCCTGGGTACTGCAAACAACTGGCTAGTGCCAGGCCCCAGCCTGAGCCCCCCACGCCGAGCCCCCGAGACCCTAAGGGTTGTGGACCATCAACACACTGGGCCGCCTGGGCAACCAGCTGGGTGAGTACGCCAAGCTGTGCGCGCTGGTCCGCGCGAACGGGACAACGGGAGGCTGCGGCCACCCGGGCTGCATGCATGCGGCGCTGAGCCGCACCTTCCAGGGGAGCCTCCCGGCGAGGCCGCGCTCTGCCCTGGTGCAGCTACATCCTGCACTACTGGTTGGAGGAGCACTACTGCCACATCCCGGGCCTAAGTGCGCCTCGCCTCGCCGACACCCCCTGCTCCTGGACCTTCTTCCAGCACCTGCGCGGGGACGTGCAGCTCCAGTTCCGCCCGCGGAGCCGCTGGGGGACGTGCCTGGGAGCGGCTGAGACCCCCTAGAAACTGCTGGAAACCTCCGTGTGTGTGAGGGGGGTGGCTGGTGAATCGGGTTTGTAGGCCCAAAAGTGCATGGTCAGGGCTGATGAGATCACTTCAGCGGTGCTCAGGGAGCTGGAGCGATAGCACAGCGGGTAGGGCGTTTGCCTTGCACTCGGATGACCCAGGTTTGATTCCCAGCATCCCATATGTTCCTCTGAGCACTGCTAGGAGTGATTTCTGAATGCAGAGCCAGGATTAACCCCTGTGCATCACCGGGTATGACCAAAAAAAAAAAAAAAATAACAAAACAAGAAAAACCCTGCTCTATGCTCAGCAATCACCTCTGGTAGTGTTGGGGGGCCATATGGGATACTAGGAATCAAACACCAGTGACCTGCTGGCAGGGCAAGCACCCTCCCTGCTTCACTATAGCTCCAGTCCCAGATCAGCAGATCAGGAGTTATTTAGGAGTTATTTATTTCATGTGCTCTGATGTCTGTGGTCAGTGGAGAGGGCCCTCATCAAGATGAGCAGACCCTTTATTATTATTATTATTTATTTATTTATTTTTAATGATGCTGGCAATCTAGGGTTGAAACCCAAGCCATACACTCTACTACGGAGACATCCCTCCCCTCCTTTATGGAGCTTGTAAATTCCAGGACACTATTCCTTTGTTAGATTATTGCAGGGTGAGAGATTAGACAACCAAGGATGGCTCCCTGTAGCCCAGGGCTGTTAAAATCATTCACATGGGACAGATCTAAGCCTACAGAAACCACAATAAACCTGATGCTTCCCTCACGTGGTGTGGCTTAACATGCTTTATTAGGAGGTTAATGAGTCTAATAAATTATACTTTCTTTCCTTTTTGGCAGGGGGAGGATTGGGCACACCTGGTGATGCTCAGGGTTTACTCCTGGCTCTGCATTTAGTAATTACTCCTGGCAGGCTTAGTGAACTATGTGGGCTACTGGGGACTGAACCTAGGTTGACCTCATGCAAGGCAAGAACCTTACTATCATTCCGGCCCCACCACTTGTATTTTACTTTTTTTTTCTTTTTGGGTTACACCCGGTGTTGCACAGGGATTACTTCTGGCTCAGGCAGTCAGGAATTACTCCTGGCAGTGCTCGGGGGACCATATGGGATGCTGGGAATCGAACCCGGGTCAGCTGCGTGCAAGGCAAATGCCCTACCCTCTGTGCTAGCACTCCAGCCCCCTCCCACTTGTATTTTAAATGGCAATCAGCTCCTGATTTATGAGCCTCAGCATACCTGAATAATAATCAAATTCAATTTTTTGTGTTTTTGGTCACTACACCTGGTGGTGCTGGGGACCTACTCCCAGCATTGTTCAAGGACCCTTATGGTTCCAGGTCCCACACTTGAGGCTCCTGAATGCAGAGCATAAACTCCAGACCACAAACTTACTTTGATGCCTGTGTGTGCTGCTCCCCTGGGCTATATCCCCAGCCAAACCTGCATTGTAAAAGCACTTTGGGGTCACAGAGAGAACTCAATGAGACAAGCACAGGTTTTGTATGTGGGAGGCCTGGGTTTGATCCCCTTTATGCAGTCCCTTGATCAATGGCAGAGCGACCCTCAAACACAGAGAAGTTCCCAGCTGCTGGGTGTGACCACCAAACCAAAAAATAATAATTTTTTAAGTAAAAATAAAGAAAATAAAGGGGGCTGGAGAGATAGTACAGCGGGTAGAGCACTTGCCTTGCACGTGGCCAATCTCGGTTCAATCCCCAGCATCCCATATTGTTCCCCAATGACTGTCAGGAGTAATTTCTGAGTGCAGAGCCAGGAGTAAGCCTTGAGCATCGCCAGGAGTGGCCCCAAAACAACAAAACAGGTGGGAGTGATAGTACAGCAGGTAGAGTGCTTGCCTTGCACACAGCCGGCCCAGCGTTCTATCCCCAGTACCCTATATATCTCAAAAGTAATCCCTGAGTGCAGAGCTAGGAGTAACCCTTGAGCACCATGGGGTGTGGCCTCCAAACAATCAAAAAACAAAAACATTTTCCTAATTTTTGATGCCCTGAGGACTTCTTGTCAGCTCTGACTTGAAGTATCTGGGAGTTTGTGTCTCACGCTTCAATGGTGATTCAGCCCATGACTGACTATAGGGCACAGTGGAAATCTACAGGTAAGAGGCCCCTGTGCAGGTTCCTATATTTGCATATGCCCCTCCCACTTTAGCTAGGCGTGTCTTACTGCCATTCACCAATAGAATATATGAAAGTGACACGGTGCCGCTCCAGGCCTCATCTTTCTGTGTTCAGGCTCCACTCCCAGCTCTGTGTTCCGGGTCTCTCCTGGAGGTGCTCAGAGGATCATATACAGTGCTGAGAACTGAACCAAGGTTGGTTGCATGCAGAAGACGATGATCCTGCTTCTTCCCCTGGAGATGTGTCCTTTGGAAAGCCCTAAGCTGCCATGTAAGGAACACTGAGACTCTATGGAGATGGAAGGAAGTGTAGATGTCTGGGGCCAGAACAACAGTCCAGCAGGTAGGGCGCTTGCCTTGTACTCAGCTGATCCAGGTTTGATCCCCAGCATCATTGATGGTCCCCCAAGCCCCATCAGAAGGGATCTCGAGTGCAGAGCCAGGAATAAGACCTGAGCACCGCTGTATGTAGCCGAAACAAATAAAAACAGCTGCCCAGCCACCAGTGCCAGGTACAGCTGAGTGCAAATACCCCCAAGATGTCAGAATCCTTAGTTTCAGGGGAGCTTGTTGGGCCTAGTGAACCCACAGCTGATCATATAGTCACTGTATCCTGCATTTCCCACCCAGTTTGCCTTGCATGCGGCCAACCTGGGTTCAACTCAGGACATCCCATAGGGTTCCCCGAATCCCACCAGGAGTAATCCCTGAGTACAGAGCCAAAAGAAAGAAAGAAAGAAAGAAAGAAAGAAAGAAAGAAAGAAAGAAAGAAAGAAAGCAAGCAAGCTGACAGCAGATCCAACTTTCTCATCCCATGGGAAGTGAAGGGTGTGACTCCCTAATCCATATTCCCCTTCACCTCCTCCACACTTCCCTATATCTGCATAGCACCTCCCTGCAATTGGTAGTTTGGGTGACAAAAGGTAGGGGAGTAAAGACATCCATGAGGCAAAAAGGAAGCAGCAAGCAACTTGTTTGTCCTGGGCAGCAGCAGTAGAAATCTGTCCCTCAACCCCTCTTCCCCCCAGCCTTGGATGGGTGCACAGGAAGATCCCCAGGCAGAAGCCAGTCAATTGGCTGGTCAGCAGCTCAGGGGTCCGGTGAGGACCTCTGCGTCTTTGGGGGCTGCGGGGAGGGGGAGCTCTGCTGATCTTTCCACACACACACCGCCCTCAGCTCTCAGTCCCTGGAAAACCCAGAAACCCATCACCATGGGTCCTCCAGCAGGTCCCACAGCCGGGTGCTGCTAGAGTCAGACAAATCAGCGGAGAAGATACTGGGGGCCGGTGGGCCGGAACCCAGCGGAGGTCCCCCACTCAGAACTTCCAGCCAGTCCAAGGAGTCCGTGGGGGGCCTGGGAGAGTTGGGTGGGGAGTTCACTGGGGACGGGAGTGAGGAAGAGAAGACAGATGACAAGCCTTCGGAGTCCGGGGAGGGGGACAGCACATCAAAGGAGCCAGGGAAGTCTAGCGGGATGGGGGGCTGTGGGTCTGTGGGGGAAGGAAGGACTGTTAGCTCAGGGGGGCGGAGGTCCCGGCCCCAGACCCTTCTTTCTCATTCGAAGGATTCAGGTCCCCCAGCCCACTCTCCCCCAGGACGCGGTAACCTAGATCCAACCCTTCACCCCTCCAGCCCCCAGCCCCCAGACCTAGGAGTTTGGTCCTTACCCTCCGGTTCCACATGGTCCTCCAGGATATCATCGATGCCCCGGTTTGGCAGCAACTGCGGGCGAGCAGAAGCAGCATGAGCCGGCACTCGGGCCGGGACCTTGGTTCACCCCTGCCGGCTTTCGCTCACCTGCGCCCTGCGGATCGCCTCCTGCAGCTCCTCCTCCAGAGTCAGGGCCTTCGGAGCCGGTGCCGGGGGAAGCGTCGGCTCGGACGGCGGAGTTGGAGCCCGCGCTGGAGTCGGAACCGGAGTTGTCACTGAGTTTTCCGTGGCACGTGGAAGAGGTGGCGGCTGAGACGGGGCTCTGGACTTGCACTAGAAGCGTGAGCCGGGCGACGATCCATAAACCGCATCCCCCAGGTGCAACCCCACCCACTCGCAGCGGCACCCGAGGGTCTCTTTCTGGCCCCGGCGCTCGATCCCGCCCTCCGGCCCCGCCTCCTCTTCTTTCATTGGCTTCTCTTCCCTTAAGCTCGTCCTCCGAGGGTCCTAACCACGCCCCCTCTCCTCATTGGTTACTCTCTTTTTGACTCTCCAACCCGTCCCGCTTTCTCGTCTCCTCATTTGTCCACACTTTCATAACCCCGCCCTCACCGAGCCCGGCCGCCGGGAGGCTCCAGGGGCCTTGGGCTTGAATCGCGGCCAAGGACCACCCGCAGGACTGTCCTCGCGCCGCGACTTCGGCCGCTCGCGGGACGGGGTGCCGCCGCGCATGCGCTCCAGGAGCATCGACTTGGTTCCTGACACCGGGAGGCCCCTCAGGCGCAGCTGCTGCCGGAGCTCTGAGACCTGGGTTGGAGAGGGGCGGGGAGAGGCCGTGCTGGACAGACTCCCCAGCTCAGCGGGAGCTCTGGGGTGTAGGGAATTTGAAAACCGAGAGAGGCGGGATGCGGGGCACCCCCGACACTCACCCTCCAAAAAGGGTCCTGAATCTCCCAGGGAGGAGACAGTAGCTAAGGTTCGAAAACTGAGTCGCCACCGTGGGACGGGGCCAGCCGCTGCAAACTCACCGTCAGCTCCTCCAACTTCAGAGTCTGAAGTTCCAGCTTGTGTGCCGGGGGCAAGGGGCTGGGGACTCCAGGTGCGGAGGGATTAAGAGGAGTAGGCTTCATCCTGGCAGGACACAGCAGCGGGAAAATAAGTTAGAAGCATCAGAGTGAGAAGTTCTGCCCAGGTAGCAATGCTATCTTCCAAGACTGGGCTCAAGAAGGGGCAGGAGAGGCCTGAGCGATAGTACAGCGGGTAGGGCATTTGCCTTGCATGCGGCTGATCCAGGTTCGATCCACGGCATCCCATATAGTCCCCCAAGCCAGGAGTAACCCCTGTGCTTCGCTGAGTGTGACCCCAAAAAGAAGAGGCATGAGCTTCTTGGCAAAGGCAAGAGATGAGCATCTGTGTCTAGGAAAGGGGGACCTGGGGCTGCACCCTGAGTACATAAGGATGAGGCACCATATATGCCTGGACTGGAGTTGGAGATTGGGAGTGGGGGGTGATGTCCCTGGCCTTGGACTCTGGATTTGAGAGAGGGAGATTTAGGCAGGGCAGGAGTCTTGAGAACAAAAATAGGGTTCATACCTAGAAGCTGGCTGCTGTGAATTTGCCCCTTCCCATAGAGGTGGCCCATGGGGACCTCGGGCTGACCTTTCAGCCTGGGGATGTGCCCTGGGCCCCTCTCTGGACTCTGGGGGCATGTACTGATGGTACGTCAGGTTCCCCTGTTGCTCCGGCTCCCGCCAGTGTGTCGAGATCTTGGAAGGCTCCTGAAAAGGCAGGTGACATCATCCGTGTCAGCTGTTCTACAGAGTTGGGGTGAGCAGGGCACCCTCAGGGGCTGTTGCCCGGAGAACCCAGGCTGGACTCCTAGTGGATCTGAGACTCACCTTCTTCAGAGACCTCCACGGGCAGTGTTCTGGCTCAGGACCCGGGACCCCAGGTCTGAAGAGGAAAGGGGCAGGGCCGGAGGGCACAGCTGGGGTCTGGGCCAGAGTGGGCCCGGAAGCAGAGATCCAGGGGTCCGAGTCTGGAACTGAGAGCTCTGCAAGCAGCACCCCCCAAGCAGAGAGGATCAAGGTCTGTGTGCAACCAGAACCCTGGAGGGCTCAGCCCCTGAACTGCAGGAGGCTGACACCCCTGGAACAAAACCCCAAAAGTGGAACTGGGGATCAAGATCATTCAATCTAGGGAGGGGACCACATCCAGTGGTGCTCAGGTTTTACTCCTGGTTCTAGGTTCCTGGCAGTGTAGAGACCACCGGGAACCATATGGGATACGGGGATGTAATCCAGGTTGGCTGCATGCAAGGTAAGTACCCTACCCATTGTACTCTCGCTCCAGCTCAGGACCCAGACTTTTTGAGGAAAGAAAGAATGGGTTTGGGGTGACACCTGGCGGTGCTCAGGGACTGTTTCTGACTCTGCCCAGGGATTACTCCTGACAGTGCTCAGGGGACTGTACACAGTGCCACATGAATCCAAACCAGGGAGAGTCACATGCAGAGCAAGCGCCTAAACTTTCCATGATCTCTCCAGCCCAGGAACCCAGACTTGGACAATGATTTAGAAAAATCAAAATTTTTTCAACAAGAGTGGTGGCAGCTGAAGCAGGGTGGCCAAGGGGAGAAGTTGAAAGTCATATCCTGCATTTCCTCTAGGTGCTGGTGGGGCGTCCTGCGGGGCTGGCCTGCAAGGAAAAGGCCCCCTAGGGGTGGGAATTACAGTATTTGGAGTAGTCTAAAGTCTGAGGCTGGGAAATCAAGCCAGGATTTCTGCTAGTTCTCCGGGGTACCCCCAGGCAGTGGGACCACCATTCCCTCCCCTGCATGTCACCCCCACTTACTTGGGTCCTGATACCGACGGTGGATCCGAAGCTGGAGGACTGTGGAGAGAGGTAGGAGGAGAAAGACGGAAGGGAGTGTCCAGGAGCGGGGCCTGGCAGGCACTGGGAGCTGCAGTTGTTGGCGGCCACAACGGACGCATGCCCAGCCCCCTTACACACCCATGCAGGCAGGCAGTGGGCGGGCGGCTCGAGGCTCCCTTTCTTGGGCCTCCCCCCTGCTCCCTGCCAGCTCAGAGCTGAGGGCCAGAGAACTCCGGGGCTAGGAGGCAGCCAGGACACAGCCCTGCCCCCAGTTCCACCTGCCCCCTTCCCGGGCCATGCCCACCCCACCCCCAGCCCCATCGCCATCTTGGCCCCTTGGGTCCCTTTGCACACACCCTACTTTGCACATGCCTGCAATCTTCCAGGCCGCCCTGCTGCCCCCCAACCTGTTCTTCCCAGCTCTCAGCAGTGTCTCGACTCACGTCTGTGCTCCAGGGTTCTTGGCGTCCTTCCGTCACTCTGGCTGGGCACCCAGCCCAACTCACAAACACACTGATTTGTACACTTAGGATCTGGCCTCCCATTTCAAAGCAAGGACCTCACGCGGTTTCCCTTTCTCCCCTCTTGCCCCCCACCCCTGTTTGTGTATCTGCACCCACCCAACCGTGTCTGCATGCTCGGACCCACATTGCCATTGCCCCCCACTACTGATGTAGAAACGGGTCCCCCATTTCTGCCTGCTTGCTCCCTCTTCACTGCCTTGGGACCTATAACACCACCCTGGACACTTCGTTGGCTTTATTTTGTTTTTAGATTTTAGGCCACAGCCGACTGTGTTCAGGGATCGTTGTTGGCAGGGACCCTAAGTGGTACTGTGACGGAACGTGGGTTAGCTCTGTGCAAGGCGAGGCCCTCCTCACTGTGCTCTCTCTCACTCTTTGAAGACTTGACAGTTTACTGACCTTTCATGGGCCACCCCGACACCCCCACTCGGCATGTCTCCTTGGCTTTGCATGCTCATTTCAGCCCATTCCCACCACACCCAGCCCTCTGCATAGTTACCGTGGCCCCGTGCACCACCCATCAGCACAGCTACCCCCATACCCAAGGGATCTTGTGCAAACAACAAGCAGCACTCAGGCCCATGTGTTCCGAGCCGCCTCCTCCCTGCCACACACACACACACACACACACACACACACACACACACACACACACTCCCAGAGTTAGCAGAGTCCTGGGATCCTGGGATTCCCCCCAGCACCCCTTCCCATAGGCCCAGAGAGAAGCCTCTCACCGGATCGAAACTTGGAGCGAATGATTTGGGAGCGCTGAGAAGAAGCTGCCAGGGTCATTGCTGAGGGTGGGATGGAGACCTGGACTGGAGGGAAGGGCCCCCAGGAGACAGGGTCAGAGCGGAAGTCGCCAGGCCCTCCTGCCTGTAGATGCAACAGGGAGAGAGCCCGAGGCACTATGGAAGGGAAGAGGCAGGGGGTTACAGGGCTGGGTTTGGGCAAAAGGAGGAGCTGGGAGCCCAGACTTGGGCATGTGGGAGGAGGAGCTGGGGGCCTGGACTCCAGGGTCTCAGGGGGGAGGGGCCGGTGGCCTGGACTCCAGGGTGGGTGGGTGGGGTCTGATTCCTGACCCTGGGGGAGGCGGGTTGAGCACCTCCAAAGCTGGAAGAGGAAGGACCTGGGGTCTGGAAAGCGCAGGACTGTGCGGCTGGAAGGCGTCACTCTGAAAGCAGAGGAGCCAGCGTCCATCAGGGCAAAGGGGAGCTGGCAGGCCCTGGGGAGCACAAGACTTTGGGGGGAGGTGTCAGCCACCAGGCTCTGTGCAGAAGGGACAGGGACCAAGAGGTGCCAAGAGTCCTGGCGGGTGTCCCCCAACCCCTCCCTCCCAGGAGCTTCTTACCATGGTGGGCTCAGCGTAGCTATGCTCTGGGCTAATCAAGCCCCGGAATCTAGGCTGGAGGTCGCGCCCCGCCCTTCCAGCCTGGACCCGCCTCGGACCCCCCTTTCTGGGACGTGCTGGGAGCCCGCGAAACCAGGGCGGGGAGGCCGAGCCGCGCCTGGGACCCTGAAAAGGGGCGGAGCTCAAAACTGGGAGGGTCTGGGGCGGGGCGGACATTGGGGCTCCCCGGCTCGCTCCTCCTCCGCGTCCCTGGGTGGCTGGGTCGGCGGGGGCGCAGCCCGCGGACTGACTGCAGCAGGTGTGGGGACAGGGCTCCCGGGAGCCGCCACGGCAGGTGGTCACGTCCCGGCTTTGCCGGCAGGTGCCACCTGTCGCTGACTTTTTCCCTGACGCAGCAGCGGGAGTCGAATTTAGGGAAATTGAATTCAAGTTCCAACTGGAGCCCTGAGTCGGGTCCGAGGCTGGGGGTTGTGTGTGTGTGTGTGTGGAGGGGGGGGGGGGAGTTGTGGGGGGTGGGAACTGAGATCCGGGTGTTGGAAGGGAGGAAGGGTCTGGACTTCCAGAGCTGAGGGAGGATGGCGAAGAGTGCTCCTTAAAATTGGCGGTGAACAGAACGGTTTTGATGGGGGCTGGGAACCGATTTCCTGTGCCTGATGGGGAAAGATTAGAGCAGAGACGCCGCAGTCAGTGGGAGAGATGACTGGTTCCCCTTGGCAGAAAGGAGGACCTGAGATTTGGCACATCAAGCACGCTCAAAGCTGTCCTGGGGTGCGTGGGGGGCCCAGTGCTCCTGGATTGGATTACAGGCACGAGGGCAAGCCGAGGCCATAGCTATAAATACCTTCTCCGACTGGGCAAGAGCCCAAAGCCCCAGGCAAAAGCTGTGCTGCTCTATTCCTCGGAAAATCAAACCACTAGAGCTTCACAAATAAGGCGTTGCCAATACCAGATACCTTTATTGCTCCCGCCACTCAAATCCCAAACCCAGCAACCCACCATCCCAGCCTCTGCTACCCAAAAACTCAAACTCCCAGCAGTCCACGCTGGAGAGAACTACAACTCCCAAGAAGCTCAGCGCTCCCGCGAGCCCCAGGGAGCAGGAGACGAACTTGAAGGTTGGCGCGTTCACTTGCTATTGGCTCTTAAGAAGGCGTGGCCACGGGAGGTCCGTGGCGGTGATTGGCCGGCAGTTCCTGCTGCTCAAGATCCCAGAGCAGGCGCCGGAGCCTGCGCAGTTCTCGGTGCAAAGCGTCGTCCGTTACTGGACCCGTTAGACGCAGGCGCGAGCTGCCCAGGGGCAGGATGAGGGGTGGGTGGGAGGAGAAGCTTTCGAAGATATCCCCTATGGAACCGAAGAAGTCGGAATTAAATTCTGAAAATGGGTATGAAGCGGCAGCGTCGGGGAAAGCCGAGGCTGCGGCATGCCCAAAGGAAGAAAAAAACTTCAATTCCCAGCAACCTCTAGGGCAAGGTCCATTTGACGCGACTCTTGGCATCCCCGGGGTCATCATGGGAGTTGTAGTCCAGATTATGAAGCCCCCCCCCCCCCCTCCGCCCCCCGGGCTCCGACCTTCCCCCGGTTCTTTTTGAGACTCTGAAATCAGTGCAGGCTGACAGACCCGACACCCTGTCACCATTTTCCTCACCTGTGTCGACAGCATCTCGCTCCGCAGTGGGAGGGTCCCAGGCTGGGGGTGGTCCACGGCCAGGCCCCAGCTGGTAGTGGCTGAGGATATGGTGGAGCTGAGCAGGGGTCAGTGTTGGGTGGTCAGTTCGTAGACTGCTCCATGAAGCCTGGTGGCAAGAGGAGTTGAGAAGTTTAGTTCAGCAGAACAATCCTAAATGGAAAACCCTCTGTGATGGGGCGGATCAGTGGGAGGACGCTGGAGTTTGTGTCTAGATGCTCCGGTTGTCATTTTTTGTCTTTTTTTGGCCACACCCGGGGATTCTTAGGGGATACTTCTGGAACTGCACTCAGGGATTACTCCTGGTGATGCTGGGGTGCCAAGGATCTAAGTGGGTGGGTAGCGTGCAAGGCAAACGTCCTCCAGGCTGTACTATCTCTCAGGCCTTCTGGTTATCATTTAAATGATTTCAGGGAAGGGCATATTCTTAGTCTCAAACCCCAGGGCTGGAGAAGTAATGCAAAAAGGGGGAGCCATGCTTTTCATGTGGGATCCCTGGATTGGTCTTCTGTAACACATACATGGTTCCCAGAACACCAGCCAGGGGTCACTCCTGAGCACAGAGCCAGAATAGCCCCTGAGCACTGCTGGGTGTGACCCCAAGTCCCCAAAACAAATAAAAGGACTACATCAAATCTAACTGCCAGTGGAATCATCATTGTGGTTAAGACAGAAGCTTCTGAGTTCAAACACTGAGATTTGAGGGAGGGATTGACTCAAAGGGCCAGAGCATACAGTTTGCATGTGGGGGAACACTGTGCGGTCTTCTGGGAGTGACTCCTGAGAATGGCCAAATAGGCCCTAAACACAACTCACCAGGGATGCAACTCATTGGAAGGCATATACCTGACTCTGCATTTCTGCGTTTCTGGCCTGGCACCAAGCTGAAACAAGTCAGCAACTGTCTACATTCTGGGCAGTCTCTGTACCTCAATTTCCTCGGTGAACAGTAACTACCTAGTACCTAGTACTGTTATGACGATTCAAAAACATCAAGATTTAAAGTCCATGGAATACTGCCAGGTGCATCATCGTAAAAGTTGATCAGTCCTTGGGGGCTGGAGCGATAGCACAGTGGGTAGCGTGTTTGCCTTGCAAACGAACCTGCGTTCGATTCCCAGCATCCCGTATGGTCCCCCAAGCACCGCCAAGAGTAATTCCTGAGTGCATGAGCCAGGAGTAACCCCCGTGCACCACCGGGTATGACCCCCCCCCCCAAAAAAAAGAAAAAAGTTGATCTGTACAACTTGACTGTCAGCTTCCTTGCCTGAATAAAGGGGCCAAATTCCTAACCAACTGAATCAGCATTCCATAATGGGCACGCAATTTCTGTTCAAGGACCTGAGATTTGATTTCGGTGGTGGTGGACAGAATTTTCACCCCGAGCTCTGTGAATCATTCCTGGTGAGGCTCAGAGGATCATATGGGGAGCTAGGGAACAAACCCAAGTTGCCCATATGCCAGGCAAGTGTCCTACCCACTGTACTATCTGGCCCTTCAGTGGATATTTTGTTTGGTTTGAGGGAAACATCCAAGTATGCTCAGGACTTACTCCTGGTTCAGTGCTCAGGGGTCATTTCAGAATCAGCTTATGGGGCCCTATTAAACCCAGGTTATCCCCAGGCAAGGCAAGTGCTTCACCCGCTGTACTCTCCTCAATGATCACAATCCTTGGTCTTATCCCAGACTTCCTGAATGACGCTGTTGAGGAAGGAGGCCCTGGAACTCTGATCAATAAGTCCCACTGTACTTGCCAGTTTCTTTGAAGTTCCCCCTCCCTCTCATGGCACTGTGACCTGGGATGGGGGTGGGGGGTGGGTGACAGCCATGCTTTCATGGCAAGGGCAAGGGCAGAGGCTGGCGAGGGGGTGTTGAGTTCACCTTGAGCAGGGAAGTGCGAGGTACACACAGCAGGTTCACAGCCATGGAGAGTTTCCGGAAGAACTCAGTGGCAATGTCGCCCAGCCCCGCCCCCTGGAGCCAGTCCAACACCAGGTCCAGGTTGGTTCGGATCTGGACTGCTCGGGACCACTGATAGAAAGGCCGACCTTGACCTACGGGGGAAGGAAATATGCTGAATTAGGTGGAAGCTCCCCCTCAGCTAGGGCTCTGGAGCATGACTCTCCAGGATTCCCCCAAAGGCGAGCCCAGAGCCTGTGGGGTGTCTCAGGCAGCCTCCCGCCCCACTCCCCATCTGCTCCTCACCTCGCTCCATCAGAGAGTTGAGAAGGGAGGCGTTGGAGAAAAAGAACAGGTAGCCGAAAGTTTGAGACACGAGATCGGGGTGCAGCTCACACTGACTGGTCAGTTCCAGAGCTGCCTGGAACACGCCCAGGGTGGGTCTCAGCCCTGGGGGCATGGCCCCCAGCTCGGCCCCAGGCCCTGGCAGCTCGGCTCCAGCTGTGAATGGGTTACTATCCAGGAGAGCAGGCAGCGTGGAATACAGAGTCTGAGGAGAGAAAGACATTCAACAAACTCCTTGGAAGCTGCAGGGTGGTAGAACACAAAGAGAGGGAGGAGGACAACAAAGCCTCCTGGGAGTTGTAGTTCAGTGTAATCAGTCCTAAGTGTCCCTCTACAAATATCGACCTGCCTGATGGGTTTCTAGCATTCAACAGATCTGGGTCACATCAAGTTCTCTTTGTTTGTTTTGGTCTTGGGGCCACATCCAGTGATGCTCAGGGGTTATTCCAGGCTCTGCACTGAGGAATTACTCCTGATGGTGCTCTGGGGACCATATGGGGTGCCAGAGATTGAGCCTGGGTTGGTCACATGCCAGG